CCCAGCATCTCAAATCTCAATTGTATTCAAATCAGAAGGGAGGTAAATTTCTGCATCCCTCTTTTAGAAAAGAACATGACAAAGTGAGAATGTCTCCTGTTTTAGGCAGGCAGTGAAGCTCTAGAAGCCTCTTCACGCAGCACCGTGCTGTTCTGCTTAGTAGCAGGGATGTGACAGATGCCTCTATCCAAGATAAAACTTGTACTCTTGGCTCTGGCAAGGTACTTTTCTTCTCTGAAATAGCAAGAATAAGCTACTGCTCTGTGTGGAGCTACTAACATCTGTGTAATGTAACTATGTAATGCCTTGCAGTGTAAGTGGTAGATGCAGTTGTTTAAAAAAAAGAGAAAGAAGAAGAAAAAAAAAGAAGAAAAGTGGTTTTGCAATTCCCTTGAACCAAAGGCAATGAAATGCATCTTAGGCTTCTCCTATGACTTTGTCGCTTCAGGGTCACAGTTTTAAAACTGTACCTTAATGCCTGTTGGTCTGTGTTGACTTTATTCTTATCAAGGAGATGACTTTCTCATAAATGCATGCAAGAAAGTTGTTCTGCATTAAAAATACAGGAATAATAAAAGAATATAGTCCTTTGCTTCGGCTGATTGCCAGAAAATTTATGGTGGAGCAGTGAAAAGAGTGAACCATGAAAACTGATTAAATATAGTTATGATGATGTGATTTTGAGTGTTCTGTAGCCACACACTGAAGCTAGGACTGTCTGGTTTTAATACTGAAGTAATATTTTTAAGGTGGATTTCATTTCTAAATTTTAAGATTTAATACTTCTCTGAAATCTCTTTAGAGAATTGAAACAATCTGGGTTTCTAGAAACTTCAGAGATCTCTGAAAGCTGATGGCACCAAGTATCTTGCCTAGCAAGAAGTACTTGGTAGCTCTGAATATCCATGCATGATGTGAGAAGTCTAATATTAAGGCTTCTGTCTATCTGAATCGAAAGCTCTAAGTAAATAGCTAGGAGAAGAATGCTACTTTGAATCAAAAAAATATTGGGAGACTAACT